GAGACTTGGTATTGAAATATAATTAATGTTTCACAGAAATTAGATTTTTAGAATTCCAAACTTAATTATGTAATAATTCACAATGTATGGAATAGTTTGAAGTAGTTTGTCTTATTTAAGTACAAAGCTGAATAATTCACCACCTGCACAGTGTCCACTATAATGATAAAACTTCAAATTTTAGTGTTACAAGTCTTCTATTGGACTATTTTAAGTAAATTAAAGAATAAAATAATTTTTAGAAACAAAAAGTTTTTGTTTTGTGCTTTATATACCTGAACCACAGTTTATCTAAAATAATTCACTAATATACTAACTTTTAAAGAAATAACAGTAAGTTATAACTACTTGCATTTATTAAAACAAAATTAGACTCAGTTTAATCAAGCATTGGCTTTTCTTAGCTCACTGATGTTTTATGCTAAGTAGAAACTTTTGAAAACTAGAAGTTAAAAACCAAGTTTACCTTACATCTATTTTTAATCTTTAAACTATAAGTAACAAATTAATCTTTTTATTTTATTTACAAGTATAGCAAACTTACTTTCTTCATTTCTAATTTCATTTTTCTCTCTTCATTAGTTTGAGCAAATTCAATAATTAGTCCTAGCGGCGGTTTCTTATGCAGCTCACGTATAGCAGTTTCTGCCTCAGCTAATGAGGACAAATGCACCATTCTATAAATTAATAAATAAATAGAAAAAAGTTTGTAGCAGCTCACGTGTAGCAGTTTCTGCCTCAGCTAATGAGGACAAATGCACCATTCTATAAATTAATAAATATATAGAAAAAAGTTTGTAGCAGCTCACGTATAGCAGTTTCTGCCTCAGCTAATGAGGACAAATGCACCATTCTATAAATTAATAAATAAATAGAAAAAATTTTGTAGCAGCCCACGTATAGCAGTTTCTGCCTCAGCTAATGAGGACAAAAGCACCATTCTATAAATTAATAAATAAATAGAAAAAATTTTGTAGCATTCAGCAAGTGCTTAAAACAAAATATTATTAGAATATATCCTGACATCATAAAATTACCTTAAGGACAGACTTCAATAATATTGCAAACTGTGTGAATTAGGCAGTATGGAGGAGATTAACAATAAAACCACTTTAGCATAAAATAGGTTTAAGTTGAATCCATCTCTCTAATTTCTAAAATAATTTACAAATTTTTATCCGGTGAAAACTAAAAATGCACACATTTGAAGGAACAACAATGTTGTTTTTTTCTTTGCCAAGTTCAATATATGCACCTATTACATGCTGAAACCTAGTGTTGTATATCAAAACTTCATCATATTTCTATATACTCATTCATTCTTGGGTCAACCAAATGGAAAGTTTAGCTGCTTTAAAAACTGGATACTTGCTTGCTCGTGAACAGAGCTTAAAAATGTCCGTGCTATAAACTTTTGCTTCAAGTTTGGAAATCTTTAGTTAATTTTTGACAAAACAGTCACTGTTAACCAGGTTAATTGTTGTCTCAACGAAGAAATGGAGGTATTCAAATGAGAACACGGTGGTTCCAGCAGAACAGGACAGCTCATACAGCAAGGGAAACAAGGTGCTACCTTTGTAAAAAAATTCCCAGACCGACTGATTTCTCTTTATGAGGATGTGTAATGGCCCCCATATTCACTTGATTTGTCACCTCCAGACTTCTTTTTATGTGGTTATCTAAAAGAAAATTTATGCTAACCCCGAGCCTCGGACTATTAATGAGATCAAGTACAACATCCACTAGAAGATTCTGAACATCCTCCTACAACCATTCCTTGAAGTAATGAGCAATATGGCAGTCTGAATGCAGGATGTCATTGGTAAACACGTGGTGTGAAAATGTATTATGTATTATGGGAATAAACGTTCATCATTACTCTTTAAATAAGTACATTCGTTATTTGATAGTCATCAGATTTTGTACTTTTTCTGGCCCCATTAAAATGTGTACATTTTTTTAGGGCATCCTATGCATATAACATGAATAAAACCCGTTATATATACTTACAGTCAATTCAACTTTTATTATGGGAAGCAGCTCTGTCAAACATTCTGTACTTGATAAAAATCAGTATTGTTTTTACAGAAGAATAGTTAGATGTAAAAACAAAAAATATCAATCTCCATGAATAATTAAACTTTTTTAATTTGTTACATAAAAAAAGTAATTATTATTTTTTTTATCATATCTTTCTTTACTGGCACTGTATGGGTTTCCAGTAAATAAAATTATAATGATAGTATTTTACCAACACATTTGTGTGCTCCATGGCACTGCAAACAAAGCTTTTGGTTTAATTGTAGAGCAGATTGCTTAGGTTTATAAACAGACTAAGCCACAAAACACTATCAATCATTTATTAGACATTAAATCTTATAATGTTTACTGCCTGGGCTAGCTGTTGGTTGGTAGTTTGTGCAACATTTATGTCACAATAAGACTGATAATTATCATAATCTATAACATTTCTGAGCACATAGGAGCTCACAAACTATTCATTTAGGTTGTTTGTCCAACTTCACAATCTAAATATCAGGAAAAGAAACTGGTACTTAAAAAAAAAAAAAATATATATATATATATATATATATGTAGGGTCAGTTTGGTTACTCTAACACAACGTTTTCTTTCTGAACCAGCAAGGTGACACGGTGTCACCCATTTGTTTTCTTTTCACACTTTAAATGCTTAATCTATTTACACATTGTTTGATATATATACTTTCTACATAATATCTAGTTCAATACATAATTTGATTTATTACTTGTGTAACTTAAACATTTTAAGTGGTGAATATTGTCATTAAATGCTCTTCTTAAAACATTAAAAAATACTCACTTTCATCTTGTTTTTATTGAGCCTAAAATCATGTAAATGTATCAGAGCTATTTTGTCAATAAAACTATAATTGTTGTGTCTGTGTTGTTCTAGTAACAACATACTCATTTTCTCATCTGTTCATGCAAGTTTTACATACAAAGTAAACTGGATTTATTTTAATGCTATTGATCAAATTTTTTTCAATTATTTCTTTTATTTATATCTTTACCTATTAAAGCAATTATATAAAGACAAAAATAACATAAAACACTGATGAACAGTAAAAGCACAGCCCTGTAGAGAAACACAACTTGAACTCATAACCTATGGCTATGTTGATTTAACTCTCTTGTTACAGATAAGTCAGAGCATGCATGTCACAACCTTTTACAGTTACATTCAAAACTGAATTAAACTACTTTATCATCAATGTATATGAAGAAACATGGCAACAAAACATAGTTAATAAATCAAATTTTAATATTATACAAGTTAAGTTCCTAATTTAATGAGTAAATATTTTTAAAATTCTCAATCTCCCCTACTATAAGAATTGTGACACTTGTTTTAACTTCTCTAATTTATATGCCATCCCTCTCTGAAGTACAGAATTTAACATAACCTACTCATTATATATTACTAGGCAAAGTGTAATTTTTATATACCTCAATCATATTTGTGTACCGAGTCATAAACTGAAAAATCACACCCACTTGCCAAATCCTCTTCTTCACAAATTGTCAATAGTTTCCTCTAATGCTTTATACTATATTATTTATAACCAAAAGAAAGACAAAGTTGTAATCTTTCAAATGATGTATTATATTACACTGTTTTCAGTACACAGTATTGTCAATTTTGTCTTCAGTTTGAAAGTTTCTCTCGTGGTGTTTAGATTGAGAAATTTAAAATAACCATTTTAAGGCTCTTACACCATACCTAGAAAGCCAGTTAAATTATGATAGTCATACAACACTGTTTGCTCTATGCATTCTTAGGTACCTTATTTATTTATGTAAATAAAAACTGAGTATACTGATAACTTTAGTATAACAAAAGTCAGTCAAATCAACTAAGTCCATATAGAGTTATAATAGAGAAAATAACAGATAAAATATAAAGTTAAAGTTTGTCATTATTTAGAGGTTACACAAAGAAAATTTGAAAATTTTCAGATGAAGAAAAGTATTTTTAATAGTAACATGAAAATCACTTTGTATTTGGAGCAGTCAACACTAACTTCATATATTCATCGACAAATCTTAAGTAAAAACACCTAATTAAAGAAAACTTATTTTTTGTGTACAAACGACTATAATGTTTACTGAAAGCATATCAAATTTCATGAAGATACACAAAACATTAAAAGTTATAATATGGAAACTCTAATGGTTACTTTGTGATTAGAAAGTCGATCATGTCAACTGACCACACATGGAAAATTTTCCCCACTATATATATTTGGTCAAGCTCAATTTTTCTCTAATAGTTATCATTTTTTTTTTAATTAGAGTTTTGTGTGTGTTCATTTAGAAATAAATTCAATAATACACAAAAATTAAAAAAAAAAATTTCTATCATCTGAATAGTTAGCCATCACAGAACTTCCAGCTTACTGTACTCACTAACCCTAAATATCCTGACCTGATGTCTTATCATACAAGAATATCCTGTTCTTTTAAAACAGATATAATTAACATAAAAAGATGATCACAAATCAATATATTGCAAAAAACGAGAGAAATTCCCAGGTTTGTGACTTGCTTCATTATGAGATCTTCTAGTAGAAACTTTCTCATAAACCATACAACACTGATTACACAACTTGATCTATTTTAAAGTGACATAGACAAAAATCTTTTCCATCCCAATAATCTTTAGTTGTGTTTTTGTTTTTTTAAAACTAAGGTTTATTAGTTATTGTCCAACCATATAAAAGCCTCTCAACACAGGATTCTTGAGATATGATTAAAACAAAAAGAAAAGTATGTGAGAAACAAACTTCAGAAGTCTATTTGTAAAGGATATCAAGACCCGAGTAAATATAAGCCTATTACTTGGATTGAGCAGAAATAGTTTTTTTAAATCTGTAAGGGCATTGCTTACAGGTGATTCCCCTTAGTGCTGCACAAAGATCGGAGTTCAAACGTTTTCAAATTTTTCCTTATAAATTGCACTAAATTTGGCAAACTTACCAGATATCAATTAACAAGTATATTTGAAAGAAAAAATTGTTGAATCAGAGTTAGAATTACTGTTCTTACTTGTATTATGAAATTTAATATTCATATATTGCTGGTCAATCTGAGAGCTGCCCTGTGGTCTTACTAAGGTTAAGCCCTTAACTTCTTTCTGAGGGAGATGAACATTAATTTTAATCCAGTATTAACATTAAATGGGCTCTAAGTTAAGCATTTTAGTTAAAATAAATGTTGTAGTATTAATTACTGCAACAAAAATGAAAAATGCCACTATCTGCTTCTCCTAAGCCTACTTCTGGAATGAATGTCCTATTTCCATGAACAGGTGAAAGTTTTCTGAATGTAGGTGAAAATTTTGCCATGTGATCTATTATTGAGAATGCACATTAATTAAATATTTGTGCCTTCTTGAATTTCCATCCTTTATTACATGTTTTCAGTTGGACACAAAATACAGTATGTAGTGCACTGCCATGGGGGTTTGCAATTTTGTAACATCAAATAAAATAAAAAAAGGGGGAGGGTTCTCCTTCAAACTTCCCAATTGGTTTTTCTTCAAATATGAAACTAAGGCGCTCTAGACTTTCTAACATTCAGAACATAAGGGAAGAGCTTTACATACCCATAACCTGTGATGTACTTCGGATTTCTTGACTGACCAATATGAACATACAAAACCCGGCCATAAGGAGCAAACAAGTTTTTTAGTCCCTCCTAAATATACAAATAAAGATAAAATAAACCCATTGAACTACAATAATTTATTATCCTTACATAAATATTACTTTTGTAAGATAAATAATGACTGAAAACCAAAAAACACTTCTCTGATGTTTTAATTTGGTGATGAGGAACACCCTTTTTAGAAAATTAAGTTTGGAAACAACTTGAAAGGGTAATGAAATTAACTTTATTACAAATGTACAACGTTCCGTCAAGCTTATGCCATCATCAGGTATAAGTACTTGATAACAACATAGGCTCGTCAAAAAGTTTTACATCTTACTATAATAGACATAATGTATATATATATATATATGTATCTACCTATGTATGTGACCAAAATAATACAGTGTTGTGCCATCTATTGAATAGAATCGCAAACAAACATTCCTAAATTTTAGAAAATTAAGTTTGGAAACGACTTGAAAGGGTAATGAAATTAACTTTATTACAAATGTACAACGTTCCGTCAAGCTTATGCCATCATCAGGTATAAGTACTTGATAACAACATAGGCTCGTCAAAAAGTTTTACATCTTACTATAATAGACATAATGTATATATATATGTATCTACCTATGTATGTGAACCAAAATAATACAGTGTTGTGCCATCTATTGAATAGAATCGACAAACAACATT